TGGGGCCAGCAGGTGGTGTGGTAGTTAAGGGCGCTGGACTCCCGCATGGCCTACTGTGGTTCAAGTCCTGGACCTGGTAACTTGCTTTCTCACTTTCTCTCCCTCTGTCTCTCTCTCTCTGGTCAAATTAAAATAAATAAAATAAAGTTTTATAAAAAAGTCTTTTAGAAAAATCACACCATGCATGTACGCATGTGTCAAATTAAAATAAATAAAATAAAGTTTTATTAAAAAGTCTTTTAGAAAAATCACACCATGCACGTACACATGCGTGTCCCTAATCCCAAGAGAACACTGGAGAAAAGGAATCGTGGTATGGCCACTCTCCCTTTGGGATGATTTCTCATTTTTGTAGTCTTCAGTGATTACATGAAGCCATAGCAAAAACAAAAATAATTGAATAAAAATGCATAAGAAAAGAGAACCATATCTGGTGGGCCCAGCCTGGATTTACATACTGCTTTCAGAGGGAGACTCTCAAGGAAGAAGCCATCATGTAAGAAACTGTGGGAAATAACTTAAGCCAGCATCTGGTATATAGTACCATGCCAGACGAACCTGTTATCGGACTTAGAGAAGAAAATGAACCATGACGCGTACTCAGATTTGAACTGGCAAATCAAAAGGAAGCTTGTTCTAGAGGACTGGGAACTTATCACTGGCTTTCCTGTGACATTCAAGTCTCATTTTCATCTACTGAAAAAGTTACCTGGACAAAATAAATAGTAGCAGGGGCCAGCAGGTGGTGTGGTGGTACAGGCGCTGGATTCCCACATAGCCGACCATGGTTCAAGTCCTGGACCTGGCGGCTTGCTTTCTTGCTTTCCCTTTCCCTCTTTCTCCGTACCCCCCCCACCCCGGTATCTGGTCAAACTGGAAAATAATAATAGCAAATGGAATTAAATAATTCTAAAAAAAAATAGTGGAACCCTGATGACAAGAGTTAAGTCAGGACCACAATGCCAAGAGGCACATTCCTATAGGTGACAATAAAAATGATCATTCCTGCAGTTATGCAATGCAGTAGCCCTGAGCTGAAATAATATGTGGCCCTGAACAAAACCCCTAACCTCTCAGGAGACTCAATTTTCTCATCTGAAAAGAAACATCTTTAACTTTTCAAAGAGCTTTTCCATGTGCTCTCATTTGAGCCCACTGTAGACATTACGGTTTGATTAACATGGAGAAACAGGCTTAATGAGCCAAGTTAATGATGTTGGAAATTCACCTAAAAGCTAGCCTGAGCTGCTCTTAGAAGTTATTTTGTCCAATTCCCCCATTTTGCATAATGAGAAACTGAGGCCCAGAGAATATGAATTGAACAGAGAGAACTCACAGAGGGTCAGGGAGCCAGGCTGAGCAGAATCTAATGGGTTAGGTTTGAGATGACCCTAAAAAGTGGATAATCTCAGACATTCTCAGCCTCTGTGAAATGCAGATGGACCTCTGGTCTCCCAATCACCCTTCCCACCCCCACTGCTCGACTTAGACATGTGACACAAAACCAGTTTTGCAGGTGAGTCCCTGGAGTCAAGCCCTCCCTCAGGATAAGGTCTATGTGTCTCCTCCCAGGCCTGAGCTCCATGAGGGTGAGGTGGGTCTGAATGCAATGAACAGCCTTGGAACACAGAAGATTTTGTTTAGTAAAAAGGGGGTGGGAGGTCACGGGTGGCATAGTAATTAGGGCACTGGAATTCCACGTAGCTAACTGGGGTTTGAGTCCCGAATCTGGAGGTTAAAACTGACACTAAGTGTGTGTGCGTCCGTGCCTAAAAGCCCAAGAGGAGAATGGAGGAGAAGGGATTGTGGCGTGGTCATCCCCACTGGGGAGGAGGGGGGAGATTTCTCTCTTTCTATCTCTGTGTTTCTTTCTGTCTCTCCAATGAACACTCACACCCTAGAGCAAAAATCTCTCAAAAAGAAAAGGAGGGGGGAGTAGTGGAAGGGAGAAGAAAAAATCGTCTGCATGTTTTCATGCTCCTACAAGAACATCTGATAACAGGCCATCTCCATAGCCTAGTGGTTAAGGGAGACAATCCAGCACAGCCAACTGCATGGTTCGAGTCCTAGAATGGGAACTTGAAAAACATGACAGACGTGTGTGCCCAAAATTCCAAAAGGAGGGAGAAATGGAGGAGAAGGGATTGCTATGTGACCATGCCCCACGTGCTAGGGGCCCAGGGCCCCGGGGGGGGGGGGGGGAGGGGGGAGGTGCTTTCTTCCTCTTCTCTCTGTCTCTCGCTGATGAGTATACACATCCTCAAATTAAAAACAAACAGCAAAATGTCTGATAGCACTGACCAAGATCATCACCACAGCAACCCTTGGTGCTTAAGACTGGAGGTGAGGAGGCTGCAGTGTCTTTTCCTGGTGCTTAAGACTGGAGGTGAGGAGGCTGCAGTGTCTTCCTCTTCTCCTGTCACCCACGAGCCCACGGCCCTTGCTCAGTAAGCAGGCTGGGGCCCCAGCACCTTTGCTCCCGCCAGCTTGTCACCTGGCTGCCTCATTACCATTTAGACTTTGCTCCGTCCCTGACCACCTCATCAAGAGCCCACTGGACCCTCAGTAACTGTGGACAAAACATTGGTTTATTGCCTCATAGCACATAGCACCTTCTGAAACCATTTTGTTGATTTACTTGATTTTTGCCCACCCCTCCTGTGTCGCTGGAGGCAAGAACCCAGTTTCCCACTGTATCCTCAGAGAAAGCAAAATGTGTGTGGGTGCGGTTGGGGGAGGAGGGGGCAAAGCAGACACTGAGCAGTTGATTAATAAACCAAGCTGAGGGAGCAGGTCTTTGCTTTTTACTTTGTACAGTTGTATTTTTTAAAAGAATTTTTTATTTCATTTTATTTATTCATTTATTTAAATTTGACCCGAGAGAGAGAGAGAGAGAGAGAGAGAGAGAGAGAAAGTGAGAAAGCAAGCCACCAGGTCCAGGACTCGAACCGTGGTCGACCATGTGGGAGTGTCCAGCGCCTTAGCCACTATGCCACCTGCTGGTCCCTACACTTGTATTTTTAAGTTCTTTGAGATAAACAAGAAACCTCTTAGCCAAGAGAGATTGATTGATTGATTGATTGATTTTAAATTCTGCCAGGATGCACACACATGTGCACTGTGAGTTTCTCAAGGTTGGCACGCAGACCATCCAGTGGACCATGTGGGATCCAGCCACTTTAACCACTATGCCACAGGCTAACACTCTTTTTGCTTTAAAAGAATGATTAAAGCAGCCACGTCGGTACGGGTGAGGCTACCCTCAGCAAATTGTGTGAGTTGGTAAAGTCTCCAACTGAACTATAAATTCCCTCTGAGTAGTGACTGGGGAGTGGGAGACCAAAGAGGGGCAGAGCTTTGCCCAAGGTCAGGCCAGCACAGCGCTCTGCAAGCCCGGCCGGGACACAATCGCCCGATTTCCAGGTCAGCCTGGGCACTCCAAGAAGAGTCCAGTCCGAGGGAAGTGGGGGCCCCCCGGGGCAACGGAGGGCTGAGTTGCGGAAGGAAGGGGGAGGAGACGAGGACCGCGAGGGCCTGGGGTGGTGGAGCGAGCTTAGTGACGGTGAGAAGCGTGGTGGGAGGGTGAGAGAGCGGGGAACCAGGAACCGAGGAGGGGATAAGGAGACAAAGGCGGAGAGGTGCGGAGTGACCAAAGGGAAGAGCGCGATGAGCAGGGGAGGTGACAGAGGGGCGTTGGGAGCTGCACCCGGGGTCAGAGCCGGGAGAGGCGGGGCAGAGGGCGGAGCGCTGATGGCGCGGGGCGGGGTCGAAGGCGGAGCAACGGAGGGCTCCCGGCGCGGCCCACGTGAACGGGGCGGAGTTAGAGCCCGACTTTCTAGTTGCCAGGCCCGCTCTGCCCCGGTGGCCGAGTCTGCACAAACCCGCGTGGAGCCGCCTCCTGGCCCGGCTTCCCTGCCAGCAGGTGAGTCCTGGGCCCCGGCGGGCGTGGAGCTTGGGGGCGCGCTAGAGCGGAGAAGAGGACCCAGGAGGCCGGCCAACGTCCCTAACATCTTGCGCCCTAGGTCACTCTGCCGACAGCAGCTACGGGGAGAGTGCATTTAACTTAACCCAGAGAGGGCAGCCTAGCCTTACCTCCACCGAGCCCTGGGGATGAGGAGCGAGGTGAGCAATTCAGGCCTGAATTGCAGCCCAGAGGCCCCAATCCGGCTTCCAGAAAGGGAAACCGCCGTGGGAACCCTTTTTTCTAGTCTGAGCGTGCTGGGGACTCCGTGTGCTTTGGGTCATGTTCAGGCCCCTTCCCAGACCTCCATCTACCCACCTGCAAAACGAGAGGTCTTTGCATGGATCCCTCAGCTCCGGACTGAATCAAATTGAGGTCCTTGGCACACTTTCCCCAAGCCCATCTCCGATCCAGCTGGCAGCCCTCTGTACTCTCTGGTCCCTCAGGTTCCAGGATTGGCTGAATCAGCCCTGACTGGGGCAGGCGGCAGCACCCAGCCCTGGACAACAGGCTGAGTAGTTCGTTTCCTGTGCATGCAGTCACTGATCTCTCTGTTCTCCCAGGCTGGCAGCTGTCATTAACCCCAGTAAAGATGAAGAAGCTGGGGCCCAGAGAGGGTTAGAGACAGGCAGGAACTGCCCGCTCTGTCCTGTACTGTACAGGTTCACCAAAATCAGGTATTTTAAAATCCAAATATGTCTGAACATGGTGTGGTAGAGAGAGGGCTGGTCAGAGAGCCTGGAAGTTTGGGTTCTAGTCCTGGTTGTGCCACTGACTCGCTGTGACCTTAGGCAAGCATCTGTCCCTCCCTGCTCAACAGTCAGGATGTTGGTCTGGTCATTGGCAAGCCCGCTGTCCTTGACATGGCTAATAATGTTAATAGTAATAGCAATCAGAATAATGGTTTCCTTACTGCCACTTACGAGGCCCAGCTTGAGCTGGCTCCTGTCTACTCAAAGCCCCAGACTTCTTGCCCTGCCGCAGGGCTTTTGCACTTGCTATTTTCACTGCCAGGAACACTTAATCACCTCTACTTTCTGCATACTCATTCTTCAGGTCACTGAAACCTCTTGCTGAGGACATTTTTGACAACTATTAGGTCGTTGTAAAAGTCATAAAGTATTTTTCTACGCAAAAATGTGTCATGACTTTTCCAACAACCCAACAGAATAGGTCCCTGGACTTACATCATCATAGTGCATACTGCCTTTTTAATTTTTTTAAGAGATATTTTTGCTATAGGACACGTGTGCTCACCAGAGAGACAAGAGATAGGCAGAAAGAAAGGGAATCGTTCCTCCCCCACCCCCACCCCTGGGGAGATGGTCATACCACAATCCCTTCTCCATTTTCCTCTTAAGATTTTGGGCAGGGACCAGCAGTTAGCGCAATGGCTATGTCATTCGACTGTGTTCCCATGTAGTCAACCGCAGTTTGAGTCCCGGACCTAGCAGCTTAAACTCGCGCCGGGCGCGTGTGCATATGTGCCCAAGATCCTGAGAGGAGAATGGAGAAGGGATTGTGGCGTGGCCATCCCCCCTGGGGGGTGATTTCTCACTTTCTGTCTCTCTCTGTCTTTCTGGCAAGTGCACTCGCCCTATAGCAAAAACCTCTCAAAAGAAAAAAAAAAAGATTTTGGGCACTCATGCACACATACTGTCAGCATAAGGTTTAAGCTGCCAGGTCCAGGACTTGAACTACGGGTGACTACATGGGAGTCCAATGACATAACCATTATGCCATCTGCTGGTCCCCATACTGCCTTTAATGCATTTGTTTGTGTAGTTCTTTGTCTAATAACTGTATCCCTTATTTGATATATATTTTTTAAAAATTATTTTACTCATTTATTTATTTATTATTTTTTCATGAGTTTTGCCAGAGAAAGACAGAGAGTGAGAGCGAGATAGAGAGAGAGAGCAAGCTGCCAGGTTCGGGACTCAAACCGTGGTCGCCCATGTGAGAATTCCAGTGCCTTAACCACCACGACACCTGCTGGCCCTATATATATAATGATAGTATGTGAGAGAAGTACCCTGGACAGGTCTTGTCACACATGATTCCCTTTCCCGAGCCCTCTAGCTCGGGATCCTGGGCACCCATGCACATGTGCCCTGTGTGTTTCCAAGCCAATGCATGGATTCGAACCCATGGTCATTATGACATCAGCCTTGCAGGGCACTTGCATTACCACTGTGCCACAGTGGCCAGGTGCTGTAGAATGGATGTTATAGCTCAGCTTCCTGTGAGGTTCTCTCACACATGAGACAGGCATGCTTTCCAAGGGGCAGCACCCGAACTTTTTTTTTTTTTTTTGGAGAAGTTTTCTTGCTATAGCGCGTCTGTGCTCGCTGGAGAGGAAAGATTCAGAGAGATAGAAAGCAAGAAATCACCCCCCCGGGGGGGATGGGCATGCATGCATATGCGCCTGGTGTGAGTTTCAAGCCACCAAGTCCAGGGTTTGAACTGTGATCGACCATGTGGGGAGTCCAGCACCTTTACCACTACATCACCTGCTGGTCCAGCAGCACCAGAATTTGAACCCAGTCTATCTGACTCAGGGCCTGAATTTCCACCTTCCCTGCCTGTTTCTCATTCCAGGATCTCACACTGAATATATTTCTAAAGTGCCTGTGTCAGCCAGCAGATCAGACCACAAGGCCTGCAAGAGAAGCCTGAGGCTGTGGAGGGCTAGTCTCGCCAAGCTCGGCCTCCCCTTGGACGGTGGGACCTGAACAAAACTAGGTGGACCTGGCCGCCTCCATGGCACACCGGCTGCAGATACGACTGCTGACGTGGGACGTGAAGGACACACTGCTCAGGCTCCGTCACCCCGTTGGGGAGGAATATGCCTCAAAGGCCCGGGCCCATGGGCTGGAGGTGGATGCCATGGCCCTGGGACAAGCCTTTGGGCAGGCATACAGGGCTCAGAGCCACAGCTTCCCTAACTATGGCCTGAGCCAGGGCCTGACCTCCCGCCAGTGGTGGCTGGATGTGGTCCTGCAGACCTTCCATCTGACAGGTGTCCGGGATGCCCAGGCTGTGGCCCCTATCGCTGACCAGCTATATGAGGACTTAAGCAGCCCCTGCAGCTGGCAGGTACTAGAGGGGGCCGAGAGCACCCTGAGGGGGTGTCGCCAACGAGGTCTGAGGCTGGCAGTGGTCTCCAACTTTGACCGTCGGCTAGAGGACATCCTGGTGGGTGTGGGCCTACGGAAACACTTTGACTTTGTGCTAACCTCGGAGGCTGCTGGCTGGCCCAAGCCTGACCCCCGCATTTTCCATGAGGCCTTGCGCCTTGCTCATTCAGAACCAGCAGCGGCAGCCCATATTGGAGACAGCTACCACTGTGATTATCAAGGGGCTCGGGCCGTTGGCATGCACAGCTTCCTGGTGGTTGGCCCAGAGCCTCCCGACCCCGAGGTCAGGGATTCTGTACCTGAAGAACACATCCTTCCCTCACTGTCCCATCTCCTGCCTGCCCTTGACCGCCTAGAGGGTGCAGCCCCAGGGCGTGGAGGCAGGTGAGGGAAGAGGCAGGTGAGGGAAGTGGCCGGACCCTGAACCATGGAGAAAACCTTAAACAAACACTGGAAACCAGAGCCCCTCAGGTCTGGACTTTGCACATGTCCCTGCAGCCTCCATAATCACAGTATAAAGCAGTGAGGGCCAGGCTTTTAGCCTCGCTCTGCTAACCAGCTCCTGAGCTCTGAGTTCTCACTCTCAGTCATGCCATACGTCCCCCTCACCTCCGACAAAGTTCACTGAGAGCCCACATAGCTTCAAAACCAGGCACTTCCTGCTGGGAACCATGTGATGGAATAAGGATGTAACCAAGAGAAAAACAAGATTGAACGAGGAAACACATTGCATAGCAACCAGTTGGGACAGTCTTGGGAGCATGAAGTCTGGAACACTGGACTGAGATGAGCATGTATAATTGTGGGTCATTAATCTCAAGACAGACCCAACAGGAAAGAATCTATGCATTGTCCCCCTGCCGGGAACCATAGGATTGTTTGCCCAGATAATAGTCATGGCCTATGAGTTCATTTTTCTTCAAGAGCCTGCAGCTCTTCATGAAGCAGATGGAGAACATTCTCCTTACTCCCTGCTTAAGATAGTATAAATTTGGGGCCGGCAGGTGGTGTGGTGGTGAAGGTGCTAGACTCCCACATGGCTAGTCATGGTTCAAGTCCTGGATCTTTGCTTTCTCACTGTCCCTCTCTCTCTCTCTGGTCAAATTAAAATAAAAATAATGGGCCAACAGGTGGCATGGTGTGTAGGGGTGCTGAACTTCTGCATAGCCAACTGCAGTTCGAGTCTTGGACCTGGCAGCTTGCTTTCTCACTTTGCCTCTCTTTCTAACCCTGCCCCTCTCTGATCAAAATTAAAATAAATAAAGTTAAATAAGTCTAAAAAAATGAATTAAATAATTCTTTTAAAAAAGTATAAATTTTCTGTAAAATAAAGCGTCTAGGTTCTCAACCCTTGAGGTTCTGAGTCCCTCTTCCGGTACTCCTGTGTCTGTCTCTTTCTTTATCCTCTGCGTTGCTCCTTCGTTCACCCTGTTCACCGGACTGGATCCGGCACTTCCAAACCTAGTTTTAGTGGCTGGGCCTGTCTGTCATGGGAGATCTGAAACCTCATACAACACAGAAAAAAGCAACACCAGGAAACTGCTAGAGTAGAAGCAGAGGCCCTGAGGCCTTGTTCAGCCTCTGATCCTTGCCCTGAAAGCCTGAGGTCAGAGCTTTGAAAATCACTGCTAAGCCATGCCATAGGGACGCTGTCCATAGCACCATACAGTCCAATGGGAGGTTTTAGACCAGGAATACCAAAATGACAATCAGAAGAACCACTGTGGACTCTGGCCTGCCATGCTAAGTTCTTTATATGGTATACACCTTCAAAACCACCTAGTGGGCAGAGGTGGTGTGACACCCCACTCCCCTTTACAGATACAGGGGCTAAGTTGCCTGGGGTCACTGCTAACACATGAGCCACTGGCCAGGGTTCTGGTTTAGGCCACATCTGACTCCAAAGCCTATTGGCTTGACCAGTAAGCTGCAAAGACACAGGGATCCAGATCACATAAGGCATGGTGTGGAGATCCTGGGAGAACAGGGAAGGTGTCCTAAAACAGGGGTCCCACCCCCTGAGCCAAAGATGTGCTAGTCGTGGCCTGTGGGGAGGCCGGGTTGTGGACCAGTGGGTGCTGTTAACAGGTCACAGACTGGTGGGTGCTAGTCCACCAGGCTATGCAGTGGGAGTGGGCAGTAGGAGAGCTGGGGAGGCTTCGTCTGTGTTTGCATCCACCTCCCATTGCTCGCATTGCTGCCTGGACTCCAGCAATATTTGGAGGAATTGACTTCCATGACGCTAGTCCTTCATGCTGGGGAGGTTGGGCACTACGGCTCTCAAGAATGCCAATATTCGGCTAGCAGGTGGCATGGGGGTCAAGGTAGCTGGATCCCACATAGCTGACTCTGCGATTTGAATCCTGGACCCGGCGCCTTGAAAATCACACTGGGCATGTATGCATGTGTGCTCAGAATCCCTAGTGAAGACTGTGGCATGGTTACCCCCCCCCCCCACCTATCCCGGAGTGATTTCTTGCTTTCCCTCTCCCTCCGTCTCTGTCTGGAGAATTCATGCGCCCTATAGCAAAAAACAAAACTTAAAAAAAAAGAAAAAAAGCCAATCTTGAAGGGCACTGCAGATGTAGGGCAGAGAGCATGGGAAGCAAGGCCTGGCAGGGGTGGAGGGAACAACCAGAGCGGGAAGCAGATTGGGTTTTTATTATTTATTTTCTTAAAAAAGGATTATTTATTTATTTAAATCTATTTTTTTATCATATTTTTTTAAATTGACCAGAGAGA